TAAATATTTTAATAAAAAATAAAATAATATATTTTATAAATTAAATTTATTGTCTCATTAAGAACTTGATCAAATTAGCCATTGTAGGTTAATTATCCTACTTAAAGGCACATTATTACGTAATAATTACCTAATTTATTCCTATCATTAACTTACAAATAAGAGTTATAAGACCATGAGTCTTATAAATAGGACATATCTCTTTGCTAAAAAAGTAGGAAGTTCCTCCACATTTTTCTAGTTTCTCATCTTACTTTATCTTCTAAATACTTTTAGGTAAAGAAAAATGTTTTGAGTTAGGTGACTTTATGGGTAGTGCAGATTCATAAAGTGTTATTGTAAAGCTATAGTATATTGGAGGCGACATGCTAAATATATCTCTACTGCACCAATTGAACTACTCTCCCCAGAGATGTAAATCACCTTAAAGCAAGTAAACTTTTCACGCCTATTTTGACAATATTTTTTATTGATATTTTATGATAAATTCATAAATTATAATTTTATTTGATCTTATGATCGAGATACAACAGTAACATGATGTGGAGACGAAGAAGAGTGTTCGAAGAACAACAGTTTAGACATCTAAATATCTTATAGTCGCTTTGAATATGATAATAATATCTGATTCAAAATATTATTAAACTAAAAGGGTTAAAAAAAGAACAAGAGGATCATGCATGCGTAAGTATGAGAGTGAACATGGGTAAGGCCTTCCACAACTTCGATTTATCTCATGGGCTTCTACTAACTAGAGTGAACATGGGTAAGGCCTTACAAAAGCTAGGTATATTAAGATGTTGAAGTCCTAAATTTTAAGTACACATTTAATTTTAAAAAAGAAAACACTAAATGTATTGTTATATAAATAGATGAGAAAAGTTAAAAATCGGAAGTTTTAAATTTTAAAATACCATAAATGTTTATAAAATTATTTTGATATTTTTAATAAATTTTTCTTATATGTTGATTCAGTAAAAATATTTAAATCATTTTATAGGCAAACCTAATATTGTAATTACCAAAAAATCCTAATTTTATTAATGCATTTTAAAGAAAAGGAAAGGAAGGGAAATAGAAGTATATTACCTCCCTTTGCATCTTTTTTATTTCTCTTAAATCAAATAAATTCTTAAGAATTTTTAAGAAATTGCATCTTTTCCAACGTTCTAAAGATTTAACCATTATCTTTTTTTGAATCATATCCAAAAATATTAAATGTCAAAGCATTCTCCCCATGCAAACGAAGCTTTTGACGTAGGAAACCCTTGGCTCCAATCCAAACAAAGTCTAAAAAGGGCCCCTACAGGATTTATGAATTTGAAAAAGTATTGGATAAGAAAATGAAACCGAAAACTCTTTCAGCCAAGGAAAATGGAAAACTCCAGATTCTCTTTTTCCATTTATTTTGAGCTCCTATTTCCCGTGATGAATTCCAAAAAGCTATCTCTCTTTTTCTTCAATGTTTATCTTCCCTTTATCTTATCCACAGAATTAATGAAACCCTAAATCCTAGTACTCCTATTTAGTACATAATTTTTGATTCGGCCATTGTCGATGTCAAAACAAATATACAGTCAATTTTGGTGCCTCAAAAACATGCAGCATATCCCTCTTTCCCCACCCACATTAATGTCAAGAAATCAATATAATATTATTGGAAAAAGGGAAATTATCTTTCTCTTTTTCCTCCATTTATTGTGATTAATGATAAACAATTTTTTCCCTACTTAAAAAAAGAAAAGAAAAAAAAAGCATGAGATCGTCATTTGGCCGGTGCTCACATGTATTGGGTGATAGCTCACATGCCAAATAGCAATGAGATGAAATTGGCACAACTTGCTCTTAATTGGATATTATCCTAATGGAAATTTGATTTTTTTTTTAAAAAAAAGGAATATGAATCATTTTATGTATTTATGTTTGCACGTGTTGCACGTGTAAAAAAGACAATGAAATCAGCCGGATGCCCTTTTGACGTTGGCATGTTGATATCATTGTGTGGATGGATTAATGGCTTGGCTTTATCTAGGCTGGGGATAATGGATCTTCACGTATCAGCATCTATGCTATTTATGTCATAAATTATTGGATCTGAGTCGATGCATATACGAACACAACATAATTAATTAATAATGCCAAAAAAAGAAATCAATTCAAATACAACATTAAGCATATGATTAATACGTTTGATTTGAACACGATCTCTTTAATTTCGTTAAAAAGAAATTATTGTTATTAAATTATTTAAATTATTAACAATATGTAACCTCTTTACATTAGGAAATTTTGGGTATAGATAAGTGCATCTCAAACTAAAATCTCTTTTTTATTCATTGCTTAGCTTATATAATATTGAAAGTCACTCATTTACCGATCGTCCTTTGTCATCGTGTGTGTGTATATATATCTATATAAAATGATTTGTATACGCTTAGTTTAATGTATTTTTTAATAAATTTTTAGTTTAATAATTAAAAATATAATATAAATATAATATATTCAGTTGATTCTTATATTTTGTGTATATGATTGTATTTTTAAATTTATTTATTTTTAATTTCAAATTAAAAAAATAATAATTTTTTAATTAAATATATTATGTAATATATTGAATCGAAATATATAATAATCACTATCAATATATATATATATATTCGAATATGAACCTAAACCTTTTTAACTTTTAAAAAGAATATTGAAACTTTATTTTCCAAAATTCTTAAAACTTCCATGTTGCACTACTCTTTCTAAAAATTATTACCGTATATCCCAGTGTTGTACTTCTTTGCTATATTAGGTGTAAAAAGATGGTTCAGGAAATATAGTCAAAACAAAAAGTGAATTTAGAAAGTTAGAATAGCAAATGATGTCTGTATAGTCCAGAAAATATACTAACAGATGTTTCGATTCACCTATAAATGCATGTGACCTGATGTGCAAGGAGGAATCTGAGCAGGTTCTGGAGGTCCTCAGAAATAGGAAGTGCAATAACTAAGACAAATGCAATATAGAAAATGATAGCGACTATTGCTCCGACGACTGCTCTATTTTTCAAACACATTGAGCGAAAATTTTAAAAACCCACATTGATGTCGGCCTGCGATTGCGAAACAACACTTACTGTGCCATTGAAATTTATCTTTGCCTAATTGGGAAGACACTAATTGGGCGATTTCTATGGATGAGCTTGTCCCATCAACATTTTGCCTTTTTTCCAAAAATCAACGCGAATCTGCACGTCTCTTCAATGTTTTGGCTGAAAACTAGATATTTTTCAAGTCATCAACTTTGACGTACAAACAAAATATTCTCAAAATTTCATTTTCCTTTCACACCCATTAAGAAGGTGCAAAATTCTCTCTCTCTCTCTTTTTTTTTCTTTTTTTTAAAGCAACGTGCCATCTAATAAAGTAAATTTCTTTAACCACTGTGCTTAGGACTTCAAATTAAATGTTACTCCCTAATTAATTAAATAATTCAATATAATTTTTTTTTAAAAGTAAAATCATATGTTAACCTCTTAAATCAACTCTAGATTCACTATTGAGCTCTCAAATTTTAATTGATATATATAAGCCTTTGGACTCTACAATTTGAGAAATTGAATTCTTAGTTCTTAATTCTTTAACTACCATAAGAATAAAGGTTAATTAAATTACTGTAAGAATAAGGATTAAATTGCTCAAATTGAAGAGTTCAAGGATTTATATACATCAATTAAAATTTAGTGGCTCAATAGCAAATCTAGGGTTATTTCAAGGACTTAACATATGGTTTTGCTTTTTCTTTAATACAAATAAAAAATAAATAAATTTAAATCATATTTTATACTTATGAACAAATTCAAAGACAAAATGCAAGTACGAATTACATTTCAATTGTACCATTCAAAATCAAAAGTAAAAATTATTACTTCACCAAAGCTTTTAAATGGGAAAGCAGGTCTTAGACTCTTAGCTAGGGTCAACGATCGATCTCCAATCCTCAAATCTGATGGCCATGGAAATTGTAAAAAAAGCTTAAAAATGAAGAGCCGTTGGTTGACTAGCTAGCCGTCAAGAGATCAAAAACAACAGCACGTAAAAAAACCATAGAACCGTCAAAGTTCCCCACGTGGAATGATCTTATGGTGACCCACTTCTTCTTCCTCACTTTTCCTTCTATATATACCCCGCTCCATTTTCAACCAAATCCATTCCACTTCTTCGTCTTCATTTTTTTCTGCTCCATTTTCAGAGAAAAGAAGAGTACTTTAGAAGCTTTGTTTTGTGTGCTAGTGGTAAACATGCCTGCGGGTGCATTCTCGTCTGCAGCACCGCCGTCCGGGGTGGAGTTTGAAGCCAAGATCACGCCGATTGTCATCGTTTCTTGCATACTAGCGTCCACAGGAGGCCTCATGTTTGGTTACGACGTCGGTGTTTCTGGTGAGAAGTTCTTAATTTCCTTTCATATTTTGTTTTCAAGAAATTTCAAAACCAAACATCAATTAATTTTCTACGCTTCGTTTTTTATTCTCTTGGTTCTTCTGATGATTTTGGTTTCTGTATGGCACAAACAGCTTCGAAGAAAATTCAAACTTCCTTTTCAAAATCAATTAAATTTGTGTTCAAAGTCTGAATTTTGGTTTTATGCCACTAAAAAAAGTTTGAATTTAGGAAAAAAAAAAAGAAAAAAAAAAAGTTTGAGCAAAAAGCTAGGATTTCTCCCGCCAGACTGGAATTCCGAGCAGGCTGGAGTTAGGTCGGCGGTAGGTTCTGAGAGTATGAAAATACCCATGATCATGTTCGTGGAGATTAGGGGTATTTATGGTATTTCAGAAGTCTCTGGTCTTCACATCCCACACAGTTGACTAGACCCAAAGCTTTGCTGCACAATTACCTTCCTGCCCTTCTTAAGAGTTTTACAGTAAAGAAGTTGAGACTAAAGACAATAATTTTTTCAGGAAAAAGAAAAATGGTTTTGATTTTAATTAGAAATTGAAATCTGACTTCATTATATATATATATATATATATTTTTCAATAGTTAAGAGTTTCAACGTTTATGTTATAGATTTTAGATTCGAACAAGAGGGTGAAAATGAATTCTAACCTAAAATCACGAAAAATATATTTATCAAACTTATATTCGAAATTAACATAAAACATTGATATACACAATTACATATTATTTCGAATCGAGACTTTAGAGAGATTCTGCCTTAACTTTTTGCTTTTACACATTTGTGATTGATGTTTAATTTCGAAAAAAAAAAAAGAGATCATTTATTTTTATTTGTTGTCAATTATTAATATTCTGTTTGTTCTGTTGTGTTTTTGCAGGGGGTGTTACATCCATGCCCGACTTCTTGGAAAAATTTTTTCCTGTGGTTTATCGTAATACCCAGGAGAAAAAAGATGGAAACTATTGCAAGTATGATAACCAAGGCCTACAACTGTTCACCTCTTCCCTGTATTTGGCTGGCTTGACCGCCACTTTCTTTGCTTCCTACACTACCCGGAAGCTTGGTCGTCGGCTCACCATGTTGATCGCCGGTGTCTTTTTCATAATCGGTGTTGCGCTCAATGCCGCTGCTCAGGACCTTGCCATGCTCATCATTGGCAGGATATTACTTGGTTGTGGAGTTGGTTTTGCCAATCAGGTTGGTACCCTTTAATATTGTTTATTCATTCTTTTTTATAAAAGAAATGTGGATGCTTTAAATCTTGATTGCAACTAGGACCCAAGCTTAGGTGTAGTCCACATGTATGGTTTAGTTCTAGGTATTAGTTATTTTCCTTTCCATGACTTTGGTGCTACTATGCAAAATTTTATATGGAAGGTATTATTTCCTTAGGAGGCAAAAAGGCTAAACATTTGCCAAAACCGCGTTATTTTGGTTCTCTAATTTCCCTTTCAATTTGCATTATCAACATCATATCCTTTCCAAAGAGTTGCTAATGGCTTATTGTTAGTCAACATGTAACTTGAGAGATTACGCCTAATTTAGCAATCAAATTTTGACACAGAGGCACGTTTGTGACTCGTTTAGGTGGACCAACCTGTTGAACACAATGCTACATAAATGTTTTTTTAATTACTTAATTATTGGGCTGATTAAATTAAATACTAGAGACTAACAAGAAATTAAATTAATCTTTTCTGGTTAAGTCATTTTCATGGACAGGCCTCTTTTTTCCAATACATTTTAGCTTTATCTATATTGTACGAGTTAGACGTTCATACATGTGATTGGAAGCTTTTATTTAAATGTCTTATATTTAAGAAAGCATCATATGAAAAAGATGTTCAACTTGGAGTTATGTGTTAAAGTCCACAAAAGTTAATTGTTTTGTGTTTTCCTCTTGGCTTTTGGAATCATTTTAGTTTGAAACAGTCTTTCTTTCTTTTTTTTTGTTGAATGATGTGATGCTTTGTTTTTTTACGTCCTTCTTTGTTCTAATATTCTACTCAATTTATTGTTTTGTATGGTCCCAATTGTTTATCCTATCATTTGTAATTGTTTAGACCTTTGTAGTTCAACTGCCCACTAAATTAAAAGAGAACAATAAAAAAAAAAAAAATCAGTTACATATCTACAAATATTATAACTAAGTAACTAAATAAAGGAACCCTTACAATAGATTCAAGTTTTGTCAAAACTATATATGTTTTGAAATTTAGAATTGTAAATTTATTTTGATTTCTAATTCGTTATATTGCAAAAATGAAATGTACAACAGGCAGTGCCATTGTTCTTATCAGAGATAGCACCCACAAGAATTCGTGGAGGACTAAACATACTGTTCCAACTTAATGTTACAATTGGCATTCTCTTTGCTGAACTTGTCAACTACGGCACCGCTAAGTAAGCCCTATTCTCTCCCTCATCTTAACTCATCCTGTTTAATTATTTTTTTATTGGTCAACATTTTTATTCATTTGAAGAGAAGAAGGTGACAAATTGTGAAATGATGAGTTCTGTCTTGGAATCTGATATTATATATTCATATGCTTAACATTGAATTCAAAAATTTAACTTAAAATGATGTTATCGTTGAAATTAAGCTATAGAATGAAGGACACTTGCCTTTTAGTGGCAGGCAAGATGAAATTTTTATTCAAAATTGTTTTGTTTAATTTTTCTTCACCGTCTTGTTCTATATTTCAAAATATACTTGTTGTGACGGGTACCAAAAGAACTACCGGCAATAACCTAAGAGTCAATAATTGGGTACAAATCAAACAAGATATGGCAATTTGACTATTTTAAACAACGGTGTTTTTAAATTAGTTCTTTTATGGTACGGATGAAAATATAGTAAATAAAATTTTATATTATAAATTTATATTAAAAAAATAAAATTTAATTTTTAATTTGTTATTTATTTTATTAAATTTATTTATGTGATAATTATCTTTTAAAATATCTATATTTTTTTATATAAATTAATAACAAAAAATATATATATTTGAAACACAAATTAAAAGAATAGTTTAAACAATAGCAAGTAATTAGGGCCTGACTTTTCTTTCTCTCATCCTTTTTCATTTCTCTATAAATGTATAGTTAATTTACATCAACATTGGAAAACTCTATAATTAACTATGGTGAAGACTTTTGAAAAATAATAATAATAGTAATAAGAAAATCAAAGCTACATCATTGCTGACATTTGAGATGTTTGTTTTGAACCGAAAGAAAGGGGCAGGGGCTAGTTAATGATTAGAATTATTGAAAGAATTTCATGTCATCATATCCAAGGATTTTATCGGTTTCTGATGTCCCATAATTGCCTTTTTCTTTTTCTTTCCTATAATGATGATACCCTTTTAGAGAATGAAATTATACATGTAAAACATTGTGTCCAAAACCAATGAAATCTTGGTTCTCATATTGCTTCTTTTGTCATAACAATAATGTCACTGAATTCTAGCCTTTCTTCTGATTATGTAATTGATTATGATTTTGACTTGCAATGATATAGGATTGAAGGAGGATGGGGATGGAGGCTATCATTGGGATTGGCAGGTATACCGGCAACCCTCCTAACCTTAGGGGCCCTAATGGTGGTAGACACCCCTAACAGCCTCATTGAACGTGGTTACATGGAAGAAGGAAAGGCAGTGCTCAAAAGGATTCGAGGCACAGAAAATGTTGAACCTGAGTTCCTCGAGCTTGTTGAGGCAAGTCGTGTAGCCAAACAAGTCAAACACCCTTTCAGAAATCTCGTCCAACGCAGGAACCGTCCCCAACTCGTCATTGCAGTTGCCTTACAGGTCAGTATTTTTCAAGATTTTTCACTCCAATTATTACAAAAAAAAACATCTGCGTTGTTCTCTACATTGAAATGGTTTGGAAATGAAACAGGTTTTCCAGCAATTCACCGGAATTAATGCTATCATGTTCTACGCCCCAGTCCTGTTTGACACCCTGGGATTTGGAAATGATGCTTCCCTTTACTCTTCTGTCATAACCGGTGCAGTAAACGTCCTCTCCACCTTAGTATCCATCTACTCCGTTGATAAGGTGGGTCGTCGCGTGCTGCTTCTTGAAGCAGGTGTCCAGATGTTTTTAGCTCAAGTGGCGATAGCAATAATCTTGGGAATCAAGGTTACAAACACCTCAGACGATCTCGGGAAAGGTTTTGCAATCCTGGTTGTTGTCTTGGTCTGCACTTTTGTCTCCTCCTTTGCTTGGTCTTGGGGACCTCTTGGCTGGTTGATCCCCAGTGAAACTTTCCCTCTGGAGACCCGCTCTGCTGGCCAGAGTGTCACTGTCTGTGTCAATCTCCTCTTCACTTTCGTCATTGCTCAATCTTTCCTCTCCATGCTCTGTCATTTCCAGTATGGTATCTTCTTGTTCTTCTCTGGGTGGGTTCTGATCATGTCCTTCTTCACCTTGTTTCTTCTTCCGGAGACAAAAAATATTCCCATTGAGGAGATGACCGAGAGAGTCTGGAAGAAGCATTGGTATTGGAAGAGATTCATGGATGATGACGAGTTTGGAGGAGCAACCATTACAAATGGCACTGATGACTTGGAGAAGAAAGGGTATTCCAATGGATTTGATCCAGCCTCTCAGTTGTAAATTTTCTAAGTCATTTAAGCAATACTAGAATTAGAACATATAATAATGTACTATACAAGAGTGGGTGAGTATAAAGGATGCGTAAATTATTATGATTTACGCGTATGACATTATATGTATTACAAAATTTTAAATTTGATTTAATTTTCAGTGATTGTGAAATGCACCTTTTTCCAGCTTATATAAGCAATGTAATCCTGTTAGGAACAAGTAGCCACCAACAAAAGGTATTACGGAGCACCAAACACAGACTTAAACTGGACCAGAGAATAACACTGAACTGGTCTGAACATGCATTTGGATGCTTTTTGATCAAGAATTTGTGTATGGTTATCCCAACTTGAAAGATTCTCTCTTTCATTTATTCCTTCATATCTAAGTAGTACTCTGCTTCACCGACCTGACACATTGACATTTTATCTTCACAATTTTCTTCTGCAAGTCCCACTGATAGATACCACTGGGGGAAGTATATATCTATTGAAATTCATGATGTAGACTATCAGGTTATGATACCATATTAAGAACTTTTTGAGAAGAGAAGAAACAAACTCGAGAAGAAATAGAATAATATGTTGGGAGAGATATGTAGAGTTCATGACACTTCCCTTAAAACTTTAAGCATGGTAATGTGTCTGTGTTAAACTATAACCCTCACTCCAACATTCTTTCCTTTCAAGTGTTTAACTATTGGCCTGAAGTCCAAAACATGGGAGACATACAATCATGATAATGTAAACATATGAATTGGTGCTGCAACAACCAATTGAATTGGTAATATTAATTCATGTTTTTTCTGGTATTGTAATTGATCAATGGATTTTGGTAGGACCAATATGGTCAATTTCATTATTTTGTGGCAGTATATGTCACAATATATTACTATTGGTAGATAGTTACCCTCAACCTGTTATCACTTGTTTGAGATTTCAAATGCCGTATTTAATGGGAAAATATCATTATGTTATATGCAACAAGAATAATTATTATAATATTTACAAGAATAATTATTATAATAACTATAAATATGAAGAAAGTCAATTAAATAACTAACTAAATTATTGATAAAAAAGAAGAAGCATTTATTCACCTATATGGCCAATATTCGAATGCTTGTTTTCTTTCTTTGCTCTTCTTCAGAGATGGAGCTCGACTCAGATTCTGGTGGGGGCAAAAAATTTTTTCCTATCATGTGAAGAATAATATATAGTATGATATAAATTATAAGTTATATATAATGGAAGAAATAAATTTAAAACTAATTATATTATCTGACCAAAACTCATTACAAGTTAAAACAAAAGTAACAAAACAAAAAATGTCAAATATTAAAAATTTAAGTATAGTCTATAATTGTTTCCAGTATTTCAAGAAAAATATGTTAATTAGATCGGATGGCTTTATTTTTTGGGTGAGGTGAAACAATACCAAAGAGAAAAAAGGGGGTAAAAGGATATATATTATACATGAAGAAAGAGAACAATTATTTAATACTCAAGATGAATAATATACGTTATAAGAAAGAGATAGAGGCACCTAAACACTCAAAGAGAAAGTTAATGCTACCAACCCTTACTGATAATGGAAGATGTGACTGGGGAGGAATCGTTGTGAGGGGATTGGTGACCAAAAGGCACTAGGGATTTGGCATTTTGGGAAAGCCGAACAAGATTTCCATTTTTTCTTTTTTTTGGTAGACAATTGATTTTTGAGAATATTTTTTGTGAGGGTAATTAGGGGTGTTCTGCATATGGTTTGGTTTGGATTTTATTTTTTTAAAATCAATTCAATTTAATTGGTTAATAAAATTTTTAAACCAATTCAAT